TCAGTCTTGGATCATGGGATGGAAGGAATTGGGCCTGGGGATTGGCATTGGTTTTGTTCTCTGTTGAAAACAAAGCATCTTGGTACTCATCATATTTTTATTTAAAATATGTTTTTATGTTATTCATGACATAATCAATATATTAAAAACAATATCTTTCTGTATTCTGTTTCAGTACAGTTCTGTATTGGCTGTATCCTTTTGTATTTCTTGAGTCCAGTGGTGACCATTTCCTCAGGTGCAAATTCTGCTTCTGCTCGTACTTTGATGTCACCTCTACAATCCCTGTGCTTAGCCTTTGTCTGTGGCCCATTTGTGTCACTGTCTTTGCTGTTACGTTACTGAAATCAGCTTTCAGTCCAGTTTGGGGCTACTCTCTACGAGCCGTTGGGTAGTAACTAGCTGACCCATAGAAGTAGGATTGGAATAAGAATTGTCTCTCTTCTCTCATAAAGAAATAAAAATGAGAAATAAGAAATTATTGGATTTATAGTCTCTTCTCTAAATAGCCATCAACTTTTTTTCCACTTATGTCACCCTCCTGGAGGCATTTTCATTCCCAAACTAAATGCCTCGTTGTAATCAGACAAAGCTTTAATAAGGTGTCTGTTTTTCCCTGTATTTGCTGCAGCTAAGGTCTCACAATGTGGCTGGTATCACCTTCAGCAGCCTTTTCCAAGCTATTGCATTTGTTTATGGAGTGCATGAGGGGTGAAGCAGGTTACTGGGGATGCAGGGTAAAATGGCAACAGGTTGTGTGTAAATCATCCAGTAATTTTCTCTCTGGTGAAAGCAACCGGACCCTGGGAATGTCATGGAGCTGAGTCAGGGGAGGGTCAGTTTGGGCATTAGGAAAAGATTCTTTGCTAGGGAGTGGTGGATGTGGAGCTGGCTGCCCAGGGCGGTGGTTGTGGCACTGATCTGCTGGACTTCAAAAAGCATTTGGGCAGCTCTGAGAAATATGGTTTGAATTTGGGGTGGTGCTGTGTGGAGCCAGGAGTTGGACTCCATGATTCTTGTGGGTACCTTCCAACTTGGGATAGTCTATGATTCTGTCACATCCATGAGGAGATAAGGAGATATTGCCAGATCTGTGGCAATGCCATGGGATTACCAGAACTAGAGTTTTGCAACTTGAATTTAGGGGCTACAGAGTGGGTGAATGTGGAATCTAAAAGATGCTAGAAAGGAAAGTCCATGCTTCTATACACACTAAAGTAAATAAGCCTAGGGTCTTGTACCTGTGGATGATCTCTAATATATCAAGCTGCTTCGGCTAATGCCCACTAAGAATTTGGCTGAAGCGTACAGGCATATGCAGGTGTGTATATGGTGAGAGTACTGTGGAGGCCCCTTGCTCCTGAGGCTGGGGAGCACTGTGCCCTGAACTGCTCAAGCGAGGCAGTGTGCTGGCCTTACACAGGACAGGGTGTTAGCTATTTTTCCTTTGACCCCAAGTGGTTTCTAGCCCTCACTACTATTGCTGGTAGAAGATGTCAGTTTGGCCAAATTATAAAAAAGATTTCGTGTACTTAAGTTTTGTGTTTATTGTTCCTTCTTCAGGATTACTTAAATGCTTTTTTGCCAATAATCTTGTTTGTAAGAAGCCAGTTCTTGCTGTTTTTCAGATTTACATAGCTGGATTGATTTATGTTCCTTATTAGGAAAATAATCCATCTTTTATGGGGTTAGGTCAATTCATGAAATAATAAATCAGAGAGAGAAAAGGTCTCAGCTGTTTCCCATAATAAGCATTTATCCATGTTTGGAAGCTCTTGTTTACTTCTGTACAGAGTCACTATTTGGTAAGGAAAAAGCAGTGTGGAAGGGTAATACTCTTCATGTTAATAAACTCTTTTATCTTTTTCTTACACAAAGCAGTATGGAGCCATGATGTTCCATGTCTGCAGAGTTCTTCATGTACACACCTTTGTATTTGCATGCATGTCTGTCATCCCTGCTGAATATGATAGTAAAGGCACTGTGATTTTTAAAATTGATTATTTAATAAAACAAGTGTTTTTGTGGGAGCTTGTCTTATAAGACCTGTTTATGTGCTTATAACCTTTTGACACCACAGTGAGATTTCAAATGAAGACATATTAATGTGCATTACAAGCGTATGATTGCTTTTATCATTATGAAAGAGATGAAAAATTAGTTCACTGCAGTAGTTTTTATCTTAACCGATCAAAGCATCTTCCAGTGATGTTTATAACAATATGTGATTGGAATAACAACTTCACATGTTGTAGAGTTCCATGCTGCAGCCGAGAGGCATGTAAATACAAGCTGCTTATTTGCAAGAAGCTTCCAGATTTGCAATATGATTGCTATGGAAACCGCACAATGAAAACCTTATAACCATCTGTGTGGTTTGGAAGATACTGCTGCATAGCTGAGCTGTTTTTGTTTACTGTTATTCAAGTGTTGAATAGGATATATTAACCCACAAGCTGGAATTATCCCAGGTATAAACTAATGCTATGCAAAGGGAATGTCTGTCTCAGAGATGAAAAAACAGTAGAATACCATTTAATAATGTTATAAATTAGTGTATGGTATATGAAAATGTTTAAGAGGTGTGATGGTAGAGGAAACTGTTAAGTTTATGCATATTTATTATGGGGATACCACATTCCATTGAAGGAATGCATTGCTTGAGCCAAGTTCTAATCCATTTTTTACTCAAGTAGTCTGATTTTTTTTTTCCCTTTAAGAAAAAGAAATTGGAAGAAAAATCAATGGCTTAATGTCAAAAACTCAGTTAGTGTAGTATTCACTATTCTATTTTAAAATTGTGTGAATGATAGACTCATCTATGGTTGGGTATTTATTTTTCTGTTCCTTCTTCAGATTCAAATAGGTAAATTATTTTGAGCATCTTTCTGGGACTAACTGGAAATAAATAAATAAATATAGTGAATTCCTCGTTTCACTGTCAGTTTAAAAATTTTGGGGGTTGTTTGCCATTAGGGTCTCTGAGAGTGAAATGTAATCTATATCTCAAGGGCCAGATGTTTGTTCTTTGGATCTCCAGCTCTGGAAGAGTTTTAGTTTGTTTAGTGTTGATTGCTCTCATTTTGACATAATGAGAAGATAGAGAAGAATGCTATCTTACTGTATTGGTGGCAATGGTGTGGAGAAGAAAAGTACTGTACCAGATTATTTTAAAGGTCTTCTTGACTCCTCTTACATTAGGGAACTTGACTCCTCTTACATCCTACAAAATGTGACTGGCAATGGAATAATAATTCCTGTGGGTGGTGTAATTGTGGTATGGAAGCCATAGAATGACAGTGCCTCCTAGTGCTTTGGATAGCTTATAGGGATGTATTTGTGTCATTTGTACTCCAATTCTAAGTGCTTAAAACAAACAAATGAGTGTACTTGGAAATGTGCCACAAGTGGTCTGCCAAGTGAGGGAATACATTTAAATGCAGTAAATAGTTTGGAGTGTTTTGTGTTGTACTGCAGCTTTAGATTTTCCCTGTTCTATCGTGTTGGTTTTGTTTTTTCTTCTTGTTTGGCTCAAATAATAGTTTATATTCATTGCAACCAGACTTTTAGCTAGTAAAGAGTCAGACAGCAAAAACTCTCAGTGGCTTAGCAGGGCAGAAGTTCAAAGCTTTTTGAATCTCATGAAGTAACTGTCATACTTGTAGACCTGCGTATGTAAGTTAGCAAACAATTATGCATACTTATTTCAACAGGTCTACTCTTGTGCTTTAAACATCTGCTTTAATGTTCACACAAACAGTCTTGTGGGTAGATTAAATTTTACAGCGCCAGCAATCCTTTGAACTTTGATGTAAAATTCACTCTTTGTCAAAGTAGAAAGTCGAATTACTAAAAGTTTCACAATAAGGAGCATTTCTAAAGTTGAGTGCTGCATCTGTTGTCTGTTATTAATAAACTATCAAAATAAGTTGCTGAAACATACACTGGTATTCATGCTTCTTTTTAAGACATAAGATGTGATGAGTTGCTGTATCTAGTAATTCAAACATATTAAAAGTCCAATTCTTGTTTGAGAAGTGGATTTATTGGTATATTATTTCTTCATTCGTTCAACAACTTTTGGTATAGTATAAGGGCCAAGATGAATGTGTTTCTACTTTCTTATGACCATGAAGAAATAATACAACTTAAAAAGAACTCATGGTTTGTTCCCTGTTCTGCCTCATTGACGAATTGTTGACTGCGAGTTGTGCAGAGCAGGTCTTACATCCCTGTGCCGAATGGAGTGTGAATTTCCTCATGTGAGGGTGTTGGGGTGAAAGAATTCCCCTTCTGTGTAAGATAAGGATGGAGTACATTAAGAAATTGCCTATGGGAATTTCATAGAGTGTTCCAATCTTGCTAGCCAGGAAACACGCTTCAGTATAGATCACTGCCAGGGTTCTTCTTTTCTTGTCTCTTAAATTTGAAATAAGTTACTTGCAGTCTGGTTTGCTTAAAACCATGGTTAGTTGCAGTAGGCAGAGCACTGAATGCATGGCATCTTGTGGTGCCTGCATTCCCATCGTGAGGGTGCCTAGCTAGTGTGTGTGTGTGTGTGTCTGATGGTGCTGAAGATGTCCTCTTCCTTCTCTGCATACTTCTGCATTGAACTGTCTACTATATATGGGCTGGGATACTTTTTCACTCCTCAGTTTCCTTCTCTTCATCCTGACAAGACATGTATATAACAGAATAGGACTCTCATTCTAATTTTCTTGGATGACATAAAAACAGCAGAACTGGATTACTGTATTCAGAGCGGACTGAGAAGGAGAGCGTGTTCACAATTGAGATTTTGAAAGAAAACTTTTGGAGTATTTGGATGGGTGGGTGGGGGAAACCACAAAAATAACAACGCTCCAACTGCTGTACAAATGCAAAATAGTAAACAGGGCTTATGATCTAGAAATGTAGAGTGTGGCTTTCAGACTAATGTGGGCTGTAATTCCTGTCAGCTGAGGTGTCCCTTCAGTTTCATTTGCAATTGTGTTTTGCAGAAGAAAATGCTCCTCCAAAGGCTGAAATGCCAAGGAAATGGAGCCAGGAGAAAGTAGACGCTGCATCAGGTAATTAAAATCTTTCTTCTTTATTTTGTATGTGTACTTTCTTTCTATCTTTATTTTCTTTTCTCTTCCTCTGCTGTTTTAAAATAATGTTTTTATAGCTCTTCTAAGCTGTTTTTTTCACCTGGGTGTTTGATGGCAGCAAAACTGCTTAGCACCACTTAGGATGCATGAAAACCACTTGAGAAGGATTTATAAAGTAAGCCAATTTATACAAGGTATTCCTTCCTGAATTACTTTGTAATGACTCAATTAGCTTTCATTTCTGCACAAAGGAGATTTAGTTGCATAAATTAGCTTATCATCATTGAGGAAGTGTCACAGCTAAAGGACAGTTTATAGATACAACATGCAGTTGCTGTCAAACCTATAAGAATGTAATATAGACATCTGTGTATACTTTGTGCTTGAGCAGAACAGACTTCTGCCATTCAGAGACTAACAGGGGACAACAAGTTGCCCAAGGGACTGGCAATGTAGACATCTCTGAAAAGGTCAACTTGACACAGGCTCTGACAATCGACCCAAAGCTCTGTCTTCTTTGATAAAAATCAGATAAACTTAAGACCACTAATTGATCTGCAGCCTGTTTAAATGTTGGCCATGCATATCTTCATTGCATATGATTACCACAGAAAGCAAATGAATTGGGTAAGAAATGCCAGAGTCCAGTGACAGCAGCATAAAAATTGGAAAAGGACACCAATGCCTAGGAAGGCTGTGAAGGATATTCTCTCAGCTTTAACTTGGCAAACTGCCCTTGTGCTAATTATCTCTGGGACTGGAAAAATAACTGCATACACCATGTAAAGTCTCATGGCCAGACAACTTTTCTTGACAGAAATGTATTTCCAGTTATGCTTAAAAACAAGATATATATGTGCTTCAAGGGCACGGACCTTTAGATAAACTATTGGTGATTTGACACAGCAAATAGAGAAGACTTGCTTCTTATCAGACCTTGCACCTTTTTGAGATCTGCTGCATTGTAACTGTGACCTGCATTGACATGCAATCTAGTTCACCTTCCCCCATCGTTCAAAATGCACATCATTCTTGCAGGGCTGTCAAGGAAAGGGTGGACAAAAAGAGTTCCTTTAGGAAGTAGGTCTGCAGTGCTCTTCCTGTTTCAGCGTGTGGAGAGGAAACAGAGGCCTGATTTCCTGACCCATACAGGAAAGCAGGAACAGGTTGCTGTGAAGAGTTTGGGGTTGCTTTTCTTGGAAAGGAAGCAAAAGCCAAGTCATCAGATGCTGTTAACATTGTGTTCTGCTAAAAACACGTGTACGACAACACGACTCATTACAGCTTTAGCATTTAATACTCATTTAGACGTTACTGTAATTATAAAAGTGCGTTGTCATAGTAGAGCATGGGGTCAATCCAATTACAAACTTGACAGCAGCATTTTTTCACTAATAGATCATCTTGAAGTTTTAAGTGATGATACTTTTAAGAAATAAAAATCTTAGTGCATTAATTTCTTACAAGTTTCAATGAGCCTTGTCTGTCTTGTTAGTGTTTGCACAATGTCCTGCAGAATATCTGAACAGCTTTTCCCAGATGTCAAATTAATTTTCTGGTCTTACTTAGTTCAAACTAGTAGCACTGGAAATCAATTGGACTTTTAGGGTGGAGTTGACATAAGTAAGATTGGCATTACTGAAATATCTAACTATATTCAAGAGTATTTTATATTTTTGCATACTGACAACACATACATTCTTACTCTTTATTTATTGCCTATCTTTATTAAACCTGAATATCACAGAAAATCTTTTGCAAATGTCTGTGAGCTCAGCCAGGTGAGAGAAAAAGGTTTTTGTAATTTTTAGTCTGTGTTGTCTCAAGGTAGGTACCTTGATTTCAAAGTGGCTAAGGGACAGAATAAGGGAATAAAAGGAATAGAGAAGGAAAATGAGGAAGGTTATGCTGAACAGGTTGGACTACATAGGTGGTAGAGTGAAATCAAAGCAAACCTATGTGTTCCTTCATTCACAAGCAAGATGAAAGTAGGTGATGTGGACCAAGTAACTCAAGGTTACTATTTTAGTATAGATTATTAATTTGGACGCCATCACTGGTAAAAGGGAAGTGAAAGTCAGGCACATCTGTTTTTATTCTAACGTTTTCAGTAGTGCATTTCCATGCTTAGGCTGTAATTCCAGATTTTGTTTTGGTCAGTGTAGTTTTTTTTGCTAACTCTGTGCTCAGAAATGGCAAGTGCCAAAATTGGCATGAGAGAGGGCGTCGGGAAGGGTCAGCTGCAGTTGAACTGGCTAAGGCTGCAGTGGGTCAGCACACTTAAAGCTTGAAATATGTACCAGATTTTGTTCTTTTTATGTCTATTGAGGCTGTTAGTATATTCATACAGTTTTGTTCTTCCTTGAGCAATCTGTTGGCATTTTAAAACAGCTTGCAACATCCAAAGTCCATGTTTGAGAGAGATACTTTTCAGACTTGTACTATAACTCTTCACCTTTCTCTCTTTGAGCATGCAATGTTAGATGCCAGTATTTTTCAGTCAAATAAGCAGTGTGAGCCTACCATTAGGAAGGCCAGCAGTGGTTGCCTCTTAATCTGTCAAATAAACTCTTTGTTTTCATCACTACACTGGCCAAAAATATCTGTTGTTCTTTTTGCTGTTACTGGCAAGAAAACAGAGATGGCAAAAGAAAACTCCGAGGAATTCTTTGTAGAAGAGTTTTGGAAACTGTTGGATAGTTGTTTGTTCAGATAACTGTCCTGGAATGAAAGAACTATTTCCTTGAGAAACAACTTATCCAAAATCCTTCTCAAACATTTCTTGTAATTGCTAATATGAAAAGCCATGAGTAGGTAAAACAAACTGCCTCATTTGCTCTACCCTGCATTTAAAAAAAAATAATTCTTTTTTTCATATATTTTTCACATTTATAGCCTATGTGCCCATGCCTTCCAATGTTACAGACTTCTGTTTAGCAGTTAGCACAAGCCATTTTACAGTGCAAAAGAATAGGATGTAATTATGACAGAGTAATTCCAGCAAGTAAAGACTTTTTGAATTTGAACTATAATTGGTGCTTATGTTCTTGATGCTAAATTTACCAGCTGCTTTCATGCACTCCTGTGTTTATGAAGGTCTACATGATTTCATCTCCATATAAAAAACAAATTTTTTCACTGAAGTCCTGTGGTTTTATTTCATGCAGTTCTTCAGATGCGTTCAAACAAAATGTGGTATGATCTTCTCTAATCAAGAGAGGGATGAAACAAGAAAGAATGGACTTGTGTTTTTAGTGAAGTTTTTGCAGCTTTTTATTATTGTTGTGTCTCTGAGTTTGTGAAGCACTGTGAATCATTTTATGAAGTGTTATGTCCTTTAGACATATGGACTCTGAAGTTATGTTTACGTTTCATGTTTATGCCTGTGTAACTTGTTCTGGTGGATGTTAGAAGCTAATTCACAACTGGGAACGCCACTTGTTTGAAGATCGGTGTAGTTTTTCACAAACTCACAGTGGCACTCCCTCTCCTTGGTTTCCTTTCTGTGCTCCTGGTGTATACCAATTGCTCCACGACAGATGTGTATTTCTGATATTAGGAAATCTCTGTCAGAATTTGATTTTGCATTGAAGTGACAGAGCTATGGTTTATCTTTGGGCAGCATCTTCAGAGCAGCAATAAGCCTGTTTTAAAACACATCTTTTCCAGTGTTGCCATCTTATTAGTTGAGTTCCTTTCTTGCTTTAAGGCTTCATGAAATGCTCGTGGTAAAGATGTAGGGAGAGATGTACCTTGCTAACTGTGACAGCTACTGTGTTGCTGGTATTCTCCTTGTGATTCCCATTAGTGCGATACCTGCAGTTACTTCAAGCACTTAAAAGGTGATAAAAAGATCAGTGTGAAAAATCACGATTCATTTTAGTGCAACTCTGATTAAATACAAGTACTGATTAATGTATTTTAAATTCAGATCAGTAAGACAACTGTTGAAAGATTTGTAAGGATGGAATACACCAAAGCAGCTCTTTAGTTTTTTGGGTTTTTTTTCCTCGCTTGGGTTTACATTATCTTTTCTGAGATAGAACTAGGAACTGTGGTCAATGCTGAATCAAAGATCTGGGGAGATAATCAGATTCAGAATTTATTCGAAATTGATTTGGTGCTGATCATTGTTACTGTTTTTAATTGTCTGATGCTAAATTGGTGAATAATAAACTGATGAATAGGAAGGGCCAAAATTTGGAGGTGCAACATTTCATAGTGATTCTATCTGAATATTATTCTCTCTATGCATTTTACAGTAATGGAATTCCTTGTTTCTGAATAGCTGGTAGCCTTTATGACATGTATATATTGGTGCCTTTGATGTGATGGCAGAAGTTGTGGGTTGATAGTCAGAACGCCCTCTAGTGCTATCTGGGGAATGGTAGCTGCTTATCATCAGCTTGTGGAAAATTAAATGGTGGCTACCTTGCATAGCGGCTTTAAAATCAAAGTTGTGAACGTTTAGCCGTATGGCAGAATTGTCATTAAAACAAGATGTGACAGAAGACATACTGAAATGGATAAATAGAAAACAAGCTCTTCTGGCTCATACAGAGAGTGTTACAATTTAAATCAAAGTATATGTCAAAATAGGGAAAAACACAAATTGTGTGCTACTGTATTTTACTTAGTGTGACACTTCATCTCACTTGTTATTTGATATTTTAGTGGGGTTTTATTCAGTAATAAAGTGAACCAATCATGATTAAATTGTAAACTATAAATAATGGTGTAGAGTGCTAATGACATGCAAATGTAACGGGTATATGTTGAAATAACCAGCAAGCCTGCTGTTCCAGGATCATATAACAAAACTAAGATGACAGCTTTGATCCAGCCAGTTCAGTGATATTTATGTTATCAGAATTAGAAGATAGCTTTCCAGTGATGTAAATTATTAGTACATATACATTCTGTCTGGTTAGTGTATACATAATGTAACTGGTCATCTTAGTGGTATTGCTTACATTCTTTTTGCATTGACTCATCGCACTCGATCCTCATGGAATTAAAAACAGGAAATAGTTTGCAGCGTAACAGAAGCTCCCAGTGTATTTAACCGTGTGTAAGTGCTGTGTTTCAATAGATGTACTCTGTATTGTAAGTATATGACAAAGCATTTATTACTGTGTTATTGCCATATTACAGAGCAAAGAGTGCTAAATAATCAATCAGTTAATGGTCTGTATGGCAGCTTGAACACAGCACATCCATTGTGCTTACACTGTTAGAAGGATGAGTTTATGACTATAGTGTAGTTGCATGTTTAGCCAGAGCCTAATGTCCTAAACCGGAGCTGACACAAATATTTTTAAAATGCAGCTTCAGCAACAGTCTTAAAGTTCTGCAATATTTCAGAAAGACCAATCCAAGATTATCTAAAAGGTTCTCAGTGAAGTTATTCAGTTTTGTTGGAACAGAATTGGCAGGGGGAGCGTATCACAAAATACTTACTTTGGCTTCCTTTTGCAGATAGTTATTAATTATACCCCAGCATTTTTATCAGTTTCAAGCTGAGATAGAATAATGGCTTGCTGGAAGTGTGTGAGTAGAGGAAAACTGGCTGCTTTAGGTGCAGCTGTGAAATGCTTTGAGAACCTGCAGCTACATGTTTCTAAGTCATACAGCTGTTGCCAGTGAAGGGCTTGCACATTAAACTTGTTTTCCAGTTGCTTTTGTGGTATGAAGGAGCTGTTTCTTCAAAGAGGATTAAGAAATGCGTGCTAATTAATTGCATTGTAGTATCTGAAGATTTAAAGAGCAGCGCTAGTCCCTCAATCTTTATCCGTTGTAATTAGATGTCGTTTTCTTTGCAGATGGCAAAAATACCGATTATGCCAATTTCTATCAGGGTCTGTGGGACTGCACCGGAGATGTACCTGATGAGCTGACATTTAAGCGTGGTGATGTTATCTACATTCTCAGCAAGGTACAGCATGCTACTCAGGCTAAGTGGCTGTAAAAAGAGGGAAGCACAGAAGGGCACATTCCCACAGTTCTATGGGGGGAAATTGGCACTCCCTTTCAGATCCTTTGTTTGCAATCAGATATTCACTGCAATTAATTATTTGTCAAATGAACTATAATCATATTTAAAACATAACCATGTAACAGGAATTAACTTAAAAGCATGTTTATTTACTTGTTAAATCTTGGCTACCGTTTGTTAACTAATTTAACAGGAGACAATGTGCTCTCTGCTTGTAAAAGCTAACCTTGTAGAATTTTAAAATTATCTTGTATGCTATGCTTTTCCTTTCCTGTTTTATATCTGTGAATTTTGGGGCATCTTGCTAGAGTGTTTTGTTTTGTTTTTTAAATTATGTATATATATTGTACGTATATAGCAATTGTTCAGACAGCTCAGATTCTGAATCTGTTTGCTCTGGCACGTTTGGACAGTTTTTAATTTACTACCTCCTTAGTTGCAAGGCAAATGACGAATACAATTCTTCTCATCTGAAGCAATGATAAGCAGTATAAGCACAAAATTTTATTTTACATTCCCGTTTCTTAATTTCTTACTTTTTCCCGTAAAAAGAAAACGAAAAAGCTCTCCTAAAGTACATCAAAGTGTACTTCTAAAATTTCATTTAAGGAAATTTCTCTTCCCCATTTGAAAAAAAAGCTGAAGTTTCCTAGTTTTCATTAAAAACCTGACTTTAAATACATATCTCAGATGTAATTGCCATTCAGTATAATTTATGCCAAAGACATTGTAATAAGCAAGTAGCAGCATGTAAGCTAAAGCCATCTGTTTGTTCTAGTTTCAAACTCTTCAGTTTTGTTACAGTTGCTTTAAATCTTCCACGATACTTTTAACTGCTGTGTTTTAGGGATAACAAATGTACAGCTTCTGTTTAAATAAATTTAAGATTTATAGGCAGATAGTCCTGTATAAAAATATAGAAGATATATTACTAATGTAATGTGACGATGTATGTCTTTTGAGGTATTTCATTGTCACTTAAACTAATAACTGAATTTCATTACTAAAGGCAGGATAATAGTCTTCAATTGGACAGGTCTTCATAGAGTTATACAGCACCAAAGAATGGTACTAATAAACAACAACACCCTGTCTGCTCCTCCCCTCCCCTTTTTGCCCCCCCCCCCCCCCCAAAAAAAAAAAAAAAAAGAAAAAAAAAGGAAAAATGTTTTTGCCTTTCGTGAATCGTACTTTTTATGTTACAGGGGCTAATAAAATCTTAAACTTCAGCTTGTAGGTGGAAAAACTAATTTGCTGCTTCTTTCTTCCCCCAAATAGTGAGGAATTTAATTTAAAAAATGGAACAGAATAGAAAAACAGTAGTTAAAGCTGTCGTCTGTATATCAGCTGTCTTGTGGCCATGCCTTGATTAATACATAATCAGTCCTTGAAACAGGCCTGCTGCTGCTCAGATATATAGAGCCCTTCTGTTTGGGAATGATTTCTGCTCCAAAATAGAGCCCAGAAATTTCAGCCGTGTTTCACTTAAAGATTGTTACAGCTTTTTCAGAAAAATGAGTGTTGGCCACTACTGTCAGCTCAGAATCTAGGGGCCTTGGAGGAGAAAGTGCCAGAAAATTATCCATCTTAACCTTCCGTTTGGTTCAGTTTCAAGGACTGATCGTTTACAAGCTCTTTATCTGCTAAGTGAAAATACGACCAAGGAAAAGTGAGCCTAACCATCCTGAAGTAGGTCAGGACTTTTCTTCAAAAAATATTTCTTAATTCCCTGCGTTAACACAGGGTTTTGTGGCGGTCGGCAGGAATCCTTAGCAATTTTTTTATTTTTTCACACCATCTAGTGGCTGAAAATGAGAGATGCAGGTACTGACAGGAGGTGATGTGAATAAATCCAAAATGGTGTCATAAATTCAGCTTCAGCTTGAACCTAGCCATGGCTTTATTGCCTTTCTATCATCTGTCAGCCAGGTAGGAACATTGTTCTTGGAGAAATCACATTTTGCTGATAAGGAGTTAAGTACAAGTATAGTGGTGTTATGGTAGGAAGGGTGAAGCTTTAACAAACTATTGAGCATTTTTGTACAACCCATGATATTTCCTTATTTTACAATGAAATATAAGTGGTATATGTTCTAATGATTGTGATAAAAGATACATTTTTTTTTTTTTCCCAGCACTATTTAGGCCAAAGCAATCTAGTTTTACCTGTTTTTCAAAAACGCAAGAGAAACCAAGGGAAAAGTGACTATTGTTTTCCAATAGATGAGTCATTAGTGCAACTGAAATAGTTATGAACCAGTCTTGCAAATATGGGCATTGATATCATTTAAATAAAGCTAGATGAACAATTTGTTACATGCAAGTTGTAACTTAGATGAATGCCTTTTAAAAGAAACAGCAAGATTTTGGTTTGGTGGTGTTTAATTACTGAAGTAGCTAAACATTATGCAAATACAAATCCCTCATAATTTACTTTAAATTGAGCATCTAAAATCAGTGTTAATGTAATGAGCATGATTTGCATGCTTATACGTGTATAATACAAATACCTATGCATTACTAATTTAATTACTGTACAAAAGTAAGTATTCATTGTTCAGAAGATGCATTTAGTAACTATTTTAGCTATTTTCTAAACATTCGTGGATGTTTAGACTGTGCATGGCAGCGGTTCTATGGACTCTTGCTTACATATATATATTTTGGTTTTTTTGTTGTTTTAACTCTGAGAGTAAAAGTTGAGTCTTTAATTTGAGCAGAATTAGCAGAACTATAGCAACAGTACTTACTAGACTTATTTAGAAAATCAAAACAAAAAGCCCAGCCTTTTCAAATGAATAGATCAGTTTATCTGTGCATTCATCACTTTAATTTATTCTTGAATATTTAAGTGACTTTTATAACTTATGCTATGAATCATGTGAGCTTTCAGAAATTTGTATACCCCTCTTTCACCATGCAGTCGAAAACATTTTATGGCTCTGCTGATTGAGGGACTCATCGGATTTCTTAGTTAACATTGACTATTAGAAATGCAATACTTGGGTGGCTTATTTTCTAAGATGATGATTGCTCTTAATTCCTGATTGTTTATGGGCCTCCCTTTGCTTTCAAGCCCACATGATAAATGGGAAAACAAACCATGATGTAACAATTCTTTTTATAAATCCTCCAGAGCTCTTATTCAGGAAATCAATTTCTAGTAACAAAGCCAACTGTGAGTATTGGTAGCTGTATTTTGTTTTAAAGTTCGCTGCGCACGATTCACCGGAGTGCAGCCGTTGCAGTATTTGTTTTATATGCATACTTCACGTTCAGAAACTTGATAGTTTCATCAGCCAGTTGCAAGTACTAATGGAAATTTATTTAGACATTAGCAGGCACTTGCTCTGGCAGAATTACTGGCATTTCTTAACTTTTAACCTTATTCATTTTCTCCTACATTTCTATTTATATTTGCATTAAATTAACAGATAATACTTAAAAATTAGAAATTGTTATCTCTAACCAGAATACTCCTTCCCTCTTATTATTTGAGTATGTGCTAATGTGATGTAATTCTACTCACTCTGGTGTTCATGATTCATGAACATCTCATTTATGATTTAAACTTTTCCTCTAGAATTTTCCGTGAAAGCAGAGCATTAGCTTGGCATCTAGCTAACCCCTAAGTTAGTAACTAAGTTAGTCATTGCATGCTTCCAGTGGGAGATTTTTGTTCTTTCAACACAACAAATGCTTGTTGAAAGACTCAAGTCATAAATACAAAACCTATATTTTATGCTAAGTGAAAAAAAGAAAGAAATCTCCATAGGTTAGATTACTGCTAAAGTAAAACGGAACAGTGCAGCCACTTAATTATGAGTATGAGCATGTTGTATGTTTTGTGTACAACTGTCATGAAGTATATTTATTCAGTATATTTAAAAAAAAAAAAGATGTTAAAGGCATGGTAAAATCCAAAGTGTTTTTGTGAGGCCATCATCTGGCTCACCAGACAGAGAGGCATATTTAATGATGACCTTGCTGTTCACGATCGTACTGCCTGTGTCTACGTTAGCAAATAAGGTGTACTATATACATGGCTAAGAGTAGAGTGAGGGCCCTTCAGTGGAAGATTAATTAAGACAGACTAACACAAAGTGACTCGAGTTCTGTTGGTCTGCATACCAATAATAAGCATTTACCTACCTGATCAGAAGAAACGTTGGCATCTTGTTGTGTAATAGAAGATAATGGCCCTTCAACCAGGGCCAGCTTTGGTTCTAAAGTCAGTCTGCTTATTCTGATTGAACACTTTCCAATGGATGTCTGTTTTGTCTCATGTCATTTCAGGAAATAAAACCTAATAACGCTACCATATAGTAAATCTGAGGCTTGTATTCTTAAAGATGACTATTTTATTGCTGCCTTAAAACAACTCTACTACCTGTGAAGAAGTCTCATTCAGTTATCTAAAACATTTATCATTTTCTGCTTTTTAGAGAAAATGCTGTTCTGTGACAAAAATGCTCCCTAGTTGATAGTGCATCATTCAGCAATTACACCAAAGGAAGTTCTGAAATTTTTTTAGCTGGCTTCAATCTTCTGGATGAATTAGAGGTGTCTTAAAATATTATCTTGCCAAATTGCCCCCTAGGATATTCTTTAGGAAAAAAATAAAATCTCCCTGGTTCCCTCACTTTAGATCGATAGGAGAGGCTACCTAATTTAACCCCAAACAAGGCTATAAATACATTTTGCTTTTCAGTTTTATGGTTTGCAGATCTTCAGTCTGTAAGTTAATATTACTTATGATGCCTTGGGAGAAGGTGGGAGAAAAATCTTGAATTCACATGCTTCAGCTGTGTGGGTTTTTTTTTATAAATTATAAATCCATTATTTCCTTGAAGGCTTTGATGCATAATTATGATTTTCAGTAATCCTTTAAAAAACAAAAATAGCAAAACAAACAAAAAACCCAACGACATACTATAGGTGTTGAACAATAGGGACTAACTGAGCAAGAATGAGATGTTCTCAACTTTTACTGATGCCGGTAGAAGTGAATATGGTACAAAGCATCTAGAGATCCTCGTTTATTCATAGGATCTGTTTCTAAAGGTGAGGAGACACGTGGAAATACTCTTGCATATCAAAAATCTCTTTTGCATATCAAAATGTCCTTCTGTGTAGTAAACAAACCTTAGATCTTACCTTAGTATGACCTATAGGTCATACTTGAGAAACAGGTAGTATGTTTCTACTACTGCACTTTCTGCAAATGTAAAAACTTCTAAGGTCAGTATCTCATGGAATCTAGGTGCACACGTATCAGTGCAGTGCAATGGGCGGAATGGGGCGAGAAGCATCTGCTTGCAGTGTGTTCAGCTGGGAGCCCTTTAGGAGGAGCCTGTAAAGCCAGATGACATTTTTTTTCCTAACACTGCTGTACAGAGAGTGTTTTGCCAGCAGGTTAAGTCATAACCTGTTCCTTGCTGCCTTGTGAAATTACTCTGGTTAATAAATTTCTGCTGGGAAAAAAAAAAAAAAAAAATCCACTCTTTTACCAATGGTGAAAACACAGAAGTGACTTAAAAAACATTTGGTCATCTGTTTGGCTGGTTGTTCTGCATTTTGTGACATAATATATTCCACTACAGCGGTGTTTGTGTTGCAGCGGTGGTGCTGGCCTCTTCCTCCCCTCCTCTGCCAACTCTGTCTGCTGTGGTAAATGTGCTCCAGTCACATGGCAGATCGTGGCCGCACACTTGTGCATTCTCCTCATTGCAGTGTGGCTGCATTTGGCCCTGCCCCCTTTCCTATCCTTCTGTTTGCCTTGGAGCAATTCATTTTGCAGTTATTGAATTTCTTAGGAGAATTATTTTTATACAGCAAGCATCACAGCACCTCTGGATCTTGATAGCATTTCTACATAAGGAGAAAGAGGCTTTGTGTTAGTAATTACCTAACATTGTCAGGAGCTGACTGCAGGCCTCTTTCTAGTGATAACAGAATAACCACATAATGTAGCTTTATAGCACATGATTAATAGAAAATAATTACACATCCTACAAAGGGATGCAATATTTCTTATAAATTGACTACAATGGTTTCCTGTAGATTAAAGGACTCTTCATTATTTTATCAGTCCTTCTGAAGTACAGTCGCTTGCCTATGTTAGCAGTGATGTTAAGAGCCGAATGCAGTGAGGGATACCAGATGGTAGGTCCAGTGGTACCTGAGATCATAAGCTGATGCTTGCAAAAGGACTGTGCTTCCCAACTCCTGAGAACTAATATAAAACTCGTGACTGTCTTCAGATCTTTCTGTGTTTTGAGCCTATTGGGCTTCAGAATTATACTGTACACATCACCGGCAGCAGTAGTAGACATACAGGCTTCACAACAGCAGTGTATTATCTAAATTACATCATCTTGAAGGAGTTTATCACTGATGCTATTGATAGAATCAATACAGCAGTTTGGATTTTATATGACACTTCAAGAAAGGAGTGGGGAACTGCCTTTGTGTCTGACCAGCGAGCACTCCTTCATACTTCTGAAGACAGAGAGGAGTGGCTAGGAGTTCAGAGAAAAATGTCTGTACTTTAATCGGTTTAAAAGGGGACTACTGTACTATTGTTCTAAAACCTGAAATTAAAGTTTTATGTTCTTGGTAACCATGTATTTGTATTATCTTTTTGCTCAGACTTCCATGGTCTGCAGATGGTTTAATTGGGATTCATGTTGCTCTTGAGGCCCATGTGAAGAATAGTAATGATGGAGTAAAAGCTTCTGTGTTGGAATATTGTCTGTATAGTATAATGGTTGCAGTGAATCTTTAAATTAGTTTACTAGTCTGTTACATCAACATTCATTTCATCTTCTCACTTAGCTTCATGCCAGCGCAGTAAGTGGTGTATTAGTAAGTAACAAAACCCAGAAAGTTTTCAAAACAGCAACATGCTCTTAATTTTCATTTGAGGTGTCTGAATTGTTTTGTTTTAAAGCAATTATTTCTGAGTTCATGTAGTTGCTAAGTGGAACATTTTCAATGGATAATATAGTCCACAGGCTCTTTGTGTGCTATTTGTCATGCAATTTAATGACCACTTAACTAAGCCACTTCCCTCATTTCATGTATTGTTTGTTTTTTTGGCTGATGTCTAGCAAAACTTGCTTAATCTCTTTTGTCAGGCTCTTCATGACTTCCGTGTAACAGCTTAAAATCTTTTGTTGCTTTTTCTTGGAGAGATTTATTACTGAGATTCCAGCAGTATACGTGAGTACTGCTCCTTTCAGCAGTTTCCCACTGTAGTCTAGAAATACTGTTTGTATATTTAACCAGTGTACTGTAAGATAAAATACAAATTTTAAACAGGCTGATCTGGAACATTATAAACTTTGGTGTCAGGGTGCTACCCAGCCTTCTAAAGATTTGGAGTGCAACATGCACCCTATGGGAAAGGTTGTGAGTAGTTCTCAACTTCTGCTCAAAATAGTTTTCTCACTGCCCATCAGGTTCAGGTACCCCTTGACTTTCAGAGCATCCGTACAAGCCCATACTGCAGTGGGAGGTGGAGGTATTTTTGCAGCTAATTTGTGAGTTTACATCGTAAATGAAGGTTTTCCTGCTATTTTTTGCATGGATTTTCTTGAAGCCACACTTAGTGCTGTATTTTATGGGTGGCAGGATAGAGCCCTTTAAATCACCAACTCCTGTTTGCACAGTGAAGAAAGAAAATGTTTAAGATTGGTGTTCAGCCTTCCACAGAAAGAAAATAAAGCGTGTGTGTGCCTGCCTGCCTGCCTGCGTGTTTTGGGAGAGGAAAAAAAAAGAGCTTGGGCCAACATGAAAGTGAGCCATCAACAGGGCTTCATTGCAGTTACACACAGGGAGAGCTGAGTACATGAAGCACCTCATAGGACCCTAGAGAACTCTCCACCAGGCCAGATATGCCAGCAGCAAATCATTATAGCTCAGCCTCTAATGAAACTCCATTAACCCTTAAGCTCCACTTGACTATTAATAACCAAAAAACTTATCTGCAGTCAAAATAATAGCTTATAGTGTCATCTCAGTAGGTCCATTAATTAAAAAATCCTACAGTCTTCAGCTTTTCTCATCAGAAGAGCAGTATAGCAGGGAGCAGATGTTGCTTATCAGGGATATCTGTGTCTTTCGTATTTTCCGTGTTTGTTCCAAAGTAATTTCTATCTAACTAATCATTCAATTTTTGAATGGGATCTCTGTTTTAATAATGCTTCATTTGTAACTCAATATATGAGAGTATGCAATTTCAGCTGTTACAATTTATTGAACTGCTGTTAGGATTGATCTTAAAATATTTACCTCATAGGAAAAAAATTAAATTTGGATCCCACAATACTCTTACTTGGTATTGCTTTTGGAAGATATTATTTCTTTAAACTATTATAATTCATTTTGTTTCATATTTATCTCACTAGGCCTAAACAAATTTCAAACTAAAGTACATTAGTCATCTGTCAGACATATGAGATCTTCTGTAGAATTTTCTACAAGCCTAAAGCAATAGTAGATGTTGTCCATTGAAAGAGATTATATCTTGGACTGATAGTATTCCCTTCGCATTTGAACAAAGTGTTATTTAAAAGAAGTTGATTTTGAGTTTCTTAGACTTTAGCCTTGTGATACTGAAAGAATCCCAGCTGATCCTTTATGCCAATGTTGTGCTGTGAGTTATTGTTACAAAAACAAGGTTTTTATGTTCGTGGCGAATACAAGACGTAGAGAACAGCTGCTTTTGGTTGTAGGGAAGTGTGGCCATAATTAAGAAATTTTCCTGAGTATGTCTAACCTTTTTAAAATTTAGCTTCTCTCTTTGCCTAACTCTGTATATGAATGCCTCTAACCAAAAGATATAATGTTTTAATTTTCAGTTGAAATGGTAATAACTGTATGTAAGAGAAAGCAACCATAAGGAGTTGCATACAAAACTCTATTGCATTTATATCAGACTAAAGGTTAATATTGCATATTGTTTTCAATTAGGAGTACAATAGATTTGGCTGGTGGGTAGGAGAAATGAAGGGAACCATTGGCTTGGTGCCTAAAGCCTACATAATGGAGATGTATGATATTTGAGAGGCCTGGGTAAGTACATTTTAATCCAATCTTCTGTAATGGCTTGTGTGTTCCCTTGTTCTCTGTTTCTTAAGTATTTCTTTCCTGGAACCTTTGTAGGAGTCCTGTTAACATAAAGACTATGGCAAAATATATTGAAGGTTCAATTTAAGCATTTCTCCTGGGATTCCATACGAATTATTAAACTACAGTATACAAAAGATGATGTATTTTATAACTGCATTTCTTTTCCAGATTTTGGGGGGTAAAACAATATTGGTGGTTAGTTCTGGTTAGTTTTGTTAATTTACTGATATGTACGTATTTTTGCAGAAATCTGTGGAAAATGGAAGGTGTTTGGACTGTATTTTATATGTATTTCTGAGGTTTTGGGGTCAGTGATGAACTTTCAACTTCTCTGTCCCTTTTCAGGAGAAGTCTGCGCTTGAAATCAGGAGTGGTGTGCAGCTGCAGTTTACAGACCTGACCTCTGAAAGATGAAGATTCTGCCGTATACATTTTGTGGTTTCAGTGAATGTAGTCAGATTGTAGCCTTGTATATATGTATTAAACGTTCAAAACAGCAATTGATCACAATTCTGCGGAAATGTTCTTGGTCCCTTTTTATAGAATTGTACTGCTAGGAAATGAAATAGATGGTATTTAACATATGGGGCACAAGCAGTCACACAGCGCCTGTTGCTCTTAAGTGTATTAGCAGCACTCTATTGCTATAGGCTTGTGTTCTAACCCACGCAGTTTGGCTCTGTGTTCCCATTACTCAGATTGAGAAAAATGGAGCTGAACTTTGAAAGCAGAAAACTATTGCTCAGTTCACGCGTACGTTAATTGCTGGAGTAGTTCACATTTTTGCGGTTTCTATGAGAATCAAAGGAAATTTCTATGTAATATTGTAAGTCTTAAGGTTGTTCTGCTTCCAAATGTGTTTTTTTTTTTGTTCATTTACATTCTTCAATTTTTTACATTTCAGCCGATGATTTATTTTTCTTCTATATTTAGCATTGTTAATATGAACCAGTTAGGTTACAACCAAATGAAGACTTTGTTCTTGTGCTGATGTACGTCAGTCTGTGTGGGGTAGCATTCTGACTTGCTGAATTACGAATTATTTTGGCAAAAATAACGCATTAGAACACTTTCTGGTAAGCCAACATGAGCTGAATTGCAGGTAAGAATGATTTTGTAGGTGGTGATGGTGTAATACTTTCAAAATCTGACCTTGTAAAGGGCTGCTTGCAATCTTTAATGTCGCATCCAGAACTCTGTAGCTAGGAGCATCAGCTGAAGCAAACAGAAAGCCCCCTCTAAAATACTCTCACTTGTGGACAAGGAGTTGGCTATGTCAGACTTAATGCTTGTTTGGGAGATTTGCATTGCTGTTAGCATGCAGGATCCTCTGTTCTGGATCCTCCCACCCAGTAATGTCTGAGGGCCAGGAGGGCGGCCCGAGTGCCCTGAGCCTGGGCAGCCCCTGCACTTCTCACATGCGTGCACTTTGGCAGACCTGTGTGCGTGTGGTTCGGAGGTAATGCCGAGCTGAACTCAGGGGTAGTAACCAATTCATGGTACTTTCTGGTACACAGGATCCTAATAGGAGGCAAACAGGGTGTGGGATTTTTTATTTATTTATTTTTTTTTTTTTGTAGCAATAGCCATTTGCAGTGGGCTCTGTACGTTATCAGTGAAATGTTAAAATGATAGATTATAGTCTTCAGCTCTTTTACTACTTTAATTTATCAAGCGGACTGTGCACTGAATGCAAAGCACTACTCTCGTGGCTGCAAAAGCTCCACTTTTCTGGCCGTCACGAAATCCGCGCCCCGAGTTGCCTTCTCCCCGCCACGCCGCCCCCTGGGTTGGGGTCAGTAGGGCAAGGCCGACCCGCGCCGCGCACCCTGGCCGGCAGGTGGCAGCAAAGGGTCGCGGCGCGGCCCGGCCCTCCTGCGGGCTGCCCGGGAGAGGGCGCCCTCCCCCCAGTGATGGGCCCGGCTCTGCGGCAGAGAGCCTTTGTCTGCGGGGGTAGCGCCCCCTCCTCGGGCGCAGGGGGGAGGCGAGCTGCCTGGCGGTCCAAGGAAGAAAGTCCCTCGGAGCGTCGCGGCTAAAGCAGCTGATGGACTGTTCGCTCTCAATCTATGCAAATACCATCGCCTTTTTTGGAGGAAAAAACCCTCCACTCGTGCTACTTTGCGCAAAACTCAGGGTTAAAAACGCCGATTGCCTTGTTGTCGTTGTTGGCTCAGGTCTGTCTCTCTGCCCGTTCTGTTAAATGTGGCGCTAAGACACGTTTTGTGCGGCATTTCTCACTTATGTGCTCTGCTCTGCATTTGTGCTGCGCTGCCATTAGATCTTACAGTAATGTTCTACTCTGCAAATTTTTAAGGTTCAAATAAAGTTTAATTGTTTGCAAACTGTTATGATGCTAATAATTCAACAGCCTGCTGTGTTACTAATGAAATTACTTTGTTATGATTAATTTGGAAAATAGTGTGTTGATTGTAGTAATTAAGCACAACAAGGTGAAGTAAATGATTCTAATGCCATCTGGCCTCCAGACTGAATGAAGAAATGAAATGGGGCTGTCATCTGAATTTATTCACAGAAGTAAGGGCAATACGAGTGCTTCTTATGGCACAGGACCCAGATACAATCGTGCCACCCTGGTGGCTTTTCATGGACCTCTGTGCTGAGAATGACCGGCCCAAATATTTTGTAGACACACAGAACCATAGCATGGTTTGGGTTGGAAAGGACCTTAAAGATCATCCAGTTTCAATCCCCTGCCATGGGTAGGGCTGTCCCCCTCCAGCTCAGGTTGCCCAGCGCCCCTTCCAGCCTGGCCTTGCAACATGTCCAGGGTTGGGATGCCCACGGCTTCTCTGAGCAGCCCATGCCAGGGCCTCGCCACCCTACTAGTAAAGAATTTCCTTCTAACATCTAACATTTGACCAGCACCTGGTTAAGGCCTACCCCTTTGTACAGAGTGCCATTAACTACATGCACCAACTTTGCTGTCAGCTCTACGGATGAGATCTGGAGAAGTATGTGCACCAGATCTGGAGAAGTATGTGCACCAGCTCACCTTTTGCTCCTCTCCTAATGGTAAGAACTTTCACTGACTGGAATTAAGCAGAACGTGAATGCTAATTAATATTGCACTCTATGTTTAAAGCCAAAAGCATAAACTTTGTTCTTTTTGGCTCTGCAGTCGCTGTGTGATGCAACTTCGCGAGCGTAGAGAATAACCCTTTAGAACCTGATCCAGAAGCTGCTGCAACTGAGAAGCTATTCAATCCAGTTGCCTCTGGATCAGGCTCCCAGAATAGTAACCCAAAACCACGCACTGCAGTTTCAAAATGCCTTCTGCTGAATGCTCGTTCTGAAAGAGGTGTGATCATTTCCATAACCTGAACTAAACAAAAGAGGTGCACTGAATTCTCTGTAGCCAAAAGGTGGAAATGTAGTTTTTCTATCTCAGGTAAAGAAAGATGAAGTTGCCGATGTCAGTGAGACTCGTGGTTTGTTGAAGCTCACTGGGGTCTGTAGGAAAGCTGTAAAATATTAAAGCCTGGGATGAAAATATCCAGGTAGATGACAAAGGCTCAGCTGCATGAGCCACTTGATGTTTCTCTCATCTCTTTCTATCAAATTGATGAAAAATTTATTACTATGGAAACCGTGGGAATAAGTGTATGCGTGGCAACCCTATAAACAACTTTTCCATTTTACACAGCACAACGTGCTCATAAACGGTGAGACCTTTGCTAACCACATTTACATTTTTTTTTTTTAAGCTGACAGCTCTCAAACAAATGTCTGCTTAAGTCCATTTTTATTTGGAAAAGCACCAATACTGAGCTACTGAGCATCCCTGTTATAGAGTGCGTTTCCCCTCTTGTGAGGGGCTAACACCAACCAACCTCATGGATTTGAAACTGGGGATTCAAGCTGAGCATAAGGACACCACTTCATGCTGCTGGAGTTAACATGTGACTTGGGCAGCCTGTCCTTGCTACAGGGAGAAGTAAAGGGAGGCCACGGTGGAGACAGGATGCACGGGTCAAAAGGATGATGCTGTTCTTAACCACCATGTGCCAGGGAACATCTATTTCTTTTTTTCCTCCTTTTTGTTGTAGAGCAGAACAGGCAGCAATGAGCTGTAAAACACTGTATTATATCCTTTAATGGATTTTTTTGGGAAGCATTTTGTCATGGGATCCAAGCAATCCTGTTTGGAATTGTTAGTCCAAACCACCCCAATTTGAATTCACAGGGAGCGGGGTCCAAAGCAAAGCGGAGAAATAATCGCTGCACCTGAAAGGTATGCCAACATGTGTTAAATTTAAAACCAGAGGTGTCAGCTTCTTCATACCCTTTTGGGAGGAGCAAGTATTAATAAACAGGAAAAAAACTGAAAATCCAGTGTTTCATTGTAGCAATGTGTATGGGAATAGAGCACGATGGTGTGGGCAGTCTGAGAAGAACTCCTGACAGGTGAAGACAGCTTGAAATGCTGCTAAAAACTCTCTCTGCTATTTATTTTTTTTGCTATAGCAAACTGATGTGTTGGAGCTTTTATCCTTAAGCAGTCTCAGTGTCTCATGAAGCATAGAAAGAACTTCCTTTCATCCGCCGTTGTAAAGCAAGTGCTGCTCCATAAAGGTTTTTGCTGGCTAATGAGCTTTTTACAGCAATCCTTTAAAGTTTATGCTGTGAGATGAAAAAACTCCACGTTCAGTTACTGGGGGAGGATTTATGTTGGCAAAAGAGAACGGCCAGTTTGGCCACTTTGTCCACTGTAATTGCTTGCGTGTTTGTAAATAGTGCCATGGGATTTTCAGTGGCCATCAGCAATTGGGATTTTATTTTTGTGCTACAAGACTGGCTATGTGGCAGCACCCAGCTGACCGCGTGCTGAACTGCTTGTGTTAAAAGCGAAAGCATTACACGGTATCATTATCAATCTTTCAAACGCCAGCAAGCGTGGAAGTGTGTCATGGCAGTCTCCCACCCAAGGGCTGACATGGCCCAATGCTGCTTTTTAATAGTCAAATCTAATGGGGTCAGCATGCACAGAGCAGAGCACAGACAGTCTGACAGGCGTGGGCAACGTGGCTTGTTCAGTGTTAGTCTTCAGCCTCTGAGAGTTATTTCAGTTTGGAAAGGGAAAAGAAGAAATCTGTATACAGCTGTGTGTTGTCAGGGATGCAAGGTCCCTCCTTGCTCTGCTGCTCTGTTCCAAGAGAGCTGCCATACTTGTGCTTAAATTAAAAGCAGCCAGGCGTGAGTGCATGTGTATGTGTGGGAAGCAATGGGCTTTATTGTATATTCACCTATAATCATGTTTTCAACTGGTTTCTCCGTTCTGAAGAGTCCGTATGCCTGCTTGCTCTTAATAGTCACAGTTTCTACTGAAATGTGATATTTCTAGGTTTTTAAAAACTTGTATTTCTAGTAGTTCAAAGTCTCTATTTTAGAAACTTCCCATTTCTCTTGTCCTGGATTCCCCGTTGTGATAGTGCTATTAGTGCAGTAATCAGGTTCCTGCTATCGAACACTTCTTGTCTTTTAAGACACTG